TATCTTGGAAGAAGAAAATCTCATTTCTGTTCTGCTGATTTAACTTATAAACTGAAACCAAAATTAACCTGTCTACATTTTAGTTTGTTGCCTTAATTTTCAAAGTATAATCATACCTGATTGATTATCCATAATAAAACTAATCTCGACATGTGTTCTGAGAAAATAATAAAATTACGTCTAGTAGTGAATTAAATATTAGTGTTCAAGACATTAACTTGTTAAATGTACTGTTTAAGTTTACAGGAATCGTCCTTTAATGTGCGTGTCCGTGTGTTAACCATATAAATAACAGTTAACTCTCTATACTTGTTCAATTAAATATAGCTAGGTTTCATGTGACATAATTTTGTAACATACAAAACCACTGTTTTAATATAATCATATTTCCTTTTGTTTTTTTGAAGTCTTTACTAGTAAGAGATGAAGATAAAGACTTTTCACATAAAAAAGTGATCTTTTAATTGTCGGATACTAAAATGACTCGTAGAAAAGCCAAAACCAATTATTACGTTAAAGTACAATTAAAATTTCTTATTTACATCACTTGTGACAACTAAAAATTGTTTTGTGCATGGTTTGTCTGTTTGTTTTAAGAATTTTTGCGCAAAGCTGCACAGGAGCTATCTGCGCATAACTTTCTCTCAATTTTGAACTGATAGACTAGAAAAAAAAGACAACTATTCAACGGCACCAACCGCCATCTCTCGGGTTACTCCTGTCTGACTGAATATCTGGATTTCACCATATCGCACCCATAGCCCCAAAGTGAGGGGTATATTTTTATGACAACGAGAAGTCTAAATTGAACCCTCGTATTTACAGTTCAAGCATATAATCAATAGGCCACACTCGACCCTGGTGTCTAGATTAAATTATATAACATTGATGTATGTTTAATGAACCTACTGTAAACTTATTTATTACTATACTTGAGTCTAATATGTAGATTCTATAAGTGTTATTGTTTTGCTCATAATCTTTATAATGTAATTCTGAGCATATGAATTATATTCGTACTGTAATTATGACATACTTAATAACACCTCCGAATCTGGTAGAAAAAATGTTTAAAACGTATATGTGTATATAATTAACATTGAACTCATTAACTTTTCAATTGGCACCTTCTTCATTTCGATTAACTAAATGATATTCCAGTCTTCATTAGCAATAAGAATTAAGACTTTTCAGAATACAAACGTAATGTTTTAACTGTCAGAAAAGCTTTAGTATATCATTTTTATCTTTTAATTTTGCTTATATAGACAAGAAATGATTACGTACGTTTAATAGTAGTAAAAGTAAGTAAGAAATTGGCATCTGGATGCGATGTCCCTTGAAACCAAACAGAGTACCAACAATTTACATCATTCTATCGAATTTCTTGAACTGTTTTCATCATAATGTGAACGTTATTTGGATCTAAGCTAACACTCTTGTGTAATTTCTTTGTTTTAGAGCAAAGCCGCACTCGGCTATCTACTGTGACCACCGGGGGAATCGAACCCCGAATTTAAGCATTGTTAGTCCGTAAGCTTACGTGTAATTTATAAAAGTCTCCTTTTTGTTTGTATACTTTCAGAAAATGTAATTCTTAATAAAATATCTATGTTTGGTAAGCTGAATTGTAGTTTCTGATAATTATGTGTTATATTAACCATCTACATATGTAATTTGTATTATGAGACAGGTTCTATGGGCATCGTGTATGATTTATTAAAACAGCAAACAATTTTATCAGACACCTGTTGAAGGATGTGTAATTCAGCGTTTCACCTCTCACAAAAAACTTACCAAAACATATATAATGACAAAATTAAACATCAAATTATCATAACTAGCGTCTGTAACCTTATATCAGTTCATATTAAACACTCAGTACTTGGTTGGTCTTTCTCGTGCTCTAATAACTTCCGCAAGGCGACGTGGAATGCTGTCGATGATGAGGTTATTGATGTAATCCACCGTGATTGCATCCAAATTTGTCACTAGAAGGCGCTGTCACTCAGCTACAGTAACTGGTTTAGTATCGTGATTAGCAATTTTCAGGCTCAGTCCTGCCCAACAGATCTCAATAGGATTACAATCTGGAGACTTTACTGGTCATGGAAATCTTGTAAGGTCCTCGTGGTCGCGATAATCCTGTACACTACGCGCACTGTGGGCAGTGACATTGTCACCCTGGAACACAAAGTAATTACCAAACCTTGTAGTGTTTCGGCGTCTACCAGTAGATTTTCCTGGAATAATGTTTTCTGTAGTCCATTGACGTTTCAGGATTCTGTATGCATTACAATGAGGGTACCCTACTGTTCCGGACAGTCGAACCATTTGACGCCCTATAACTTTTGCCACGTGACGAGGCATGACTTTACATCAAGTAGAGAAAACTTGTCTGAACAAAGCGTTGATCTGTTTTGAAAAAAACATTATACCCAAAGCACACCATTTTATACAAAACAGGTGAGTATGTGTGTGTGTTTTGACGAACAAATGCTCAAAACAACTTATACAGACCATAATAACAACTCGTATACATGTTTTTCCGATCATACACTACCTTCTCTGTTACTACTCGGGTATTTACTCAATAACTACTCCATGCATGTAGACAATAACGTCAATATAGAACAGTGTGCGAAGATTTTGACCAAGACTCTACATCATGATCAAACTATCTGTTAAGAAGTAATATATGCAACCAAACTTTATTCACTTTGTAAAACAATAATAATTATAATAACAATAAAATTGTAAATTTGAGTGTCATTT